CAATAGTTTCGCGTTTTCAATTTTTTGTATACCTATGTTGAATATCGTCATCGTCAGTAAAAGTGACGATATAGCCATCGTCAGCCATGTTACTGTTGCGCTGTCGATCGTCCACGATAACGATGACGATATATATGGCGTGGCTAATCATCTGTCAAAGCACGCTTCAAAAAATATCGCGGGTTTCTTGCTAATTTCAATTGCTCGGTGACCAATATTAAAGTGGCTGGCAAAAATATGGAAAGGTAGCAAAACTGAGTGAAGGTAACTTCAAAAACTGTACCATTATAGAACGTTTTTGGAATCAAGTAAGTTTGATTTAAAATGGATTGGGTGAAGCGGCCTTTGGAGAATTGTGTGATTTAGTTCATAACATTTTAAGTCTGCCTCACAGTTCCGCATCAGGTGAGCGCAAGTTTTTTGGTTTAGCATAAATAAAATCGAAATTAAGAAACAAATTGTAATTGAAAACTTTAAATGATATAATGTTAATAATATACAATTGTAATGCACTTTGGGTGCGATATAAAAAAAATCGTTATAAAAACTGAATTTGCATATTTTATTGATAAAGAGGAATAAACTCCACTCAATCCCGATGTAATAAAAATTAGTCCATTTTTTACCATTTGGTCTATTTTTTGGTCCGAAAAATAAATTGGAAATGGCAACCGTGATCAACACCACCTTGCAAGGCGAATTTATACAAGGTGGTGTTACTGGCGAATTTAGATTTTCGCCGCGGTACTACTGAATGTCAAAACACATCATTTTGACATTCAGTAGTACCGCGGCGAAAATCTAAATTCGCCAGTAACACCACCAAGGCGAATTTATACAAGGTGGTGTTGATGGCGAATTTAGATTTCCGCCGCGGTACTTCCTAATGTCAAAATGATGTGTTTGTTGGAAACAAGGCGAATTCATTTTACAACAAACCAAGGCGAATTTATACAAGGTGGTGTTACTGGCGAATTTAGATTACAACAACGACAACCACATGTATTTTGTATTGCGGGTGTTAGTCAAATCTAAATTAGCTCCAAAGTTTACATATATTTTGTTTTTTGCTTTCGATGGGTGTGCTGTCAAATCAGTAAAAGCAAAAACAAAATACATGTAAGGCGAAGAAATCAGTTGATTTTATAACACCACCTTGTATAAATTCGCCTTGACAACAAACACATCATTTTGACATTAAGTACCGCGGCGAAAATCTAAATTCGCCATCAACACCACCTTGTATAAATTCGCCGTGAACACCACCTTTTATAAATTCGCCTTGAGTAGGCGGTGGTAGGTGGTAGCAAGAATACAACAAACAACAACCACATTTATTTTGTATCAGGTGCAAAATGTCAAATCTCAATTCGCCTCAAAGTTTACATGTAATTTGTTGTTGCTATTCAGGGGCATGCTGCATGAACGAAAGACACAAGATCACGCCTTCCCGAAAGAAAGAAAAAAGTTATTTTCTAGCTGTTGAAATCTCGCGGCCATCTTTGTTGTAAGAAATAAACAACGAAGAGAACAAAAAAAAACGCGTAATTGTTTAACGCATGAATAATCATTTTTAGTATGCAAATTCTTCTATAAATCATGTCGCTGTGTTAAATTATTCTTTACCTTATGTGTGCACACGTTGTCACAAGCGAAAATTAAGAAAATTGCAGTAAAAAGCCACCACCAAATTGTAAACAACGAACAAATGTAAACAAACGGCTAATGTCAAAGTCGCCCAACTTTTTTCCTAAATGCGATTATAACGGGCTACTAAAAAGAAAGCGTGATCTTGTATTTTTGGTTCATGGGCATGCTCTCAAATCAGTAAAAGCAAAAACAAAATACATGTAATACTAGGTTCACATATAAGTAGATTATCCTCATTTTCGAGCTTAACACCCTAATCTGTAATTATAACAAGAGATTAGCCGTATAAAATTCGTCCCTTGTTAATCTGTAATTATAAAATAATCTCAGATTTAACCGATAACTTTTCGGTGTCCATCCTAGTTTTATCGATTGTTTTTGCGAAAGAGAGGAGAAATGCCAAATGTAAAAGTAAACAAAAATGTACGCTAGCAAGTAAAAGAGGTTTGTAAAGGTATTTTTAATAAAATGTTAAGTTAAAATATATTTATATTGCTTATTATAGCAGAAAAACGTGATCACGGTGGCACAGAGAAGAAACATAAATTTTCCTTGAGATGTGGGAATAACAAGCACAACAAATTTGACGGCTAATAATCTGAGATTTGCCTGTGTAAACGGGGTGATTAAAAAACTAGCTTTGATTGAGATAATATTGATATGTGAACATAGTTTAAGGCGAAGGAAAGAAGAAGATATCAGCTGATTGGACAACACCACCTTGTATGAATTCGCCTTGGAGTCTACTTATTGCTCAAACTTATCGAAAGTTATCGAGTTGTAAATGGGCCCTGTCAACCTGTCAGTATTTATTGACATGATCCAAGTATCGCGATATTTATTGACGGTGTAGCATGCAGAATTGATGGATCGTGATCAGTGGCTCGTTTCTGTAACAATTCTCTACCAAAGCGAATTGAGATATGAATTCGCCGCCCTGTTCTCTACTGCTAATTAGTAGGTGAGAGTGACGTATTTTGTCTACCAGTAGAGAAATAATCGGTAGCGAAAAGTTACAGAAACGGGCTACAGGCATGGGCAGAGAACGAGCACATCGCGTGTACGTATACAAGCAAGGGCGTAACGATGAGAACGCGGCAGCATGCAAAATGAATTAGGCACACTAACCCATTCTCACTTCTAGCGAACGCTTGTTTGTGGTAGTGCCCACCTCTGATCGTGATCCATATAAATATTGAACGTGTAGCACCAAGGTGTATTAAACAAGGTGGTGTTGGGGCGACAGCTGAGTTTTTCGCCGTGGAGGCCATTACGTCAAAATGATGTGTTTGTTGTAACTCATACCAATGACAGTATGGACATCAGCGTATAATTTGTTCGTGTAATTTTTTACTTATATACGGCCAACACCACCTTGTTAAATACGCCTTGTGTAGCACTTTCAAAACGCGATCCATACATTTCGTCAGTACATCTTTTACTCTCATAATGCGAACATCGAAAGCGTATTCGCTATGTCTTCGCTCTCGCTACTAAAAACCTTTCAAAACAAATTGAAAAAGTTGTAATTAACATTGGAAATTTAAAAATAATTGTGGAATGCATTATCTGTAAATCAAACGTACAAAATAAAAATATTTTCTTGCGTCATAATAAGCGTTCAGCACAAAAATGGCTGAGATTTCCATTACGGAACCAATTGCTATTCCGTGCAAAGTATACTGAATTTTTTTATGAAACTCGGTGGGGATACTAATGGAGGTCTCCTTTAACTATATTTCTCACTTTCACAATGTTGTTGCTAATAGTACTTAAGTTATTTGTTGTTAAAATATCCCGCCTGCTATCACTACATTTTATTATAACCCCACACCTATCACTTTTATTTACACGAATATATTATCCTTAAAAGGTTCGCATGCGTTTGTAATACTTTAATATACAATTATTAATTAATTAATTAAGTAAAACGCGTTTATAAATGTCTCCACAAACGTTTGCACATTTCACAAACAAGCAGAAATAACAATGGCTGACAGTAACACAAACTGTATGCTACCATACGTTAAAAAAAATACACCACAAATAAGTGCGTATAATTAAGGGGTATAAGTGTATAATACGTACATTGTTCTTATTAAAAATAATAATATTAGGATCGATAGGGGTCTTACTCTTGAACATAACGCGATTTTTAAGTTTTTAATGAAAAATTTTCGCCTGCGGCGCTTTTTCCATAAAAAACAATACTTCGATAAATAACTAAGTTAAAATTTTTATTACAAAATCTCCATTTTAGACTGAATCACTTTTTATTATCAATACATCGTTATTTAATTAAAAAAAATTAATTACAATGCCTGTTTTTATTGTGTCTCGTTTTCAGTGTTTTTTTTTTGGCATTTTTTGTTGTGTGGCAGCACCGATATTTTAGTTCAATTGGTTTACAAAGCAAAGAGTGAGGTTGAAGTTGACATGTTTTGCAACTTAAAATTCAATTTTCATAAAAACTATAACCCTCCGGAAGGTGGGGTTTTCAGATTTACAATCACAAAAAGCCGGGCATAAATGCAGAATACGTACAATTCTCAAATTAAAAAAAATTCATATGGGGATCGATAGAGATCATTGAGGTGAGTGTAACGATGTATTTTTTTTTTTTGGGAAACAACAACTACAACAATTATTAAAGGGGTTTCAGTGCCTTTTCTTCGCAACACAGAAAGAGAATTCTACTTTGTGAGGGTTATAATCCATAAGTGCGGCCGAAGGCCGCCTACGCAGAAAGGTGTTCTGTGCAAAAGGTGTTCAGCGCCTTTTCTTCGCAACACAGAAAGAGAATTCTACTTTTTGAGGGTTATAATCCATAAGTGCGGCCGAAGGCCGCCTACGCAGAAAGGTGTTCTCTGCAAAAGGTGTTCAGCGCCTTTTCTTCGCAACACAGAACGAGAATTCTACTTTGTGAGGGTTATAATCCATAAGTGCGGCCGAAGGCCGGCTACGCAGAAAGGTGTTCTCTGCAAAAGGTGTTCAGCGCCTTTTCTTCGCAACACAGAAAGAGAATTCTACTTTGTGAGGGTTATAATCCATAAGTGCGGCCAAAGGCCGCCTACGCAAAAAGAAGTTTATTCACAAAAACCCTGTATACTTTTTTTCCATATTAATTCCATTTTCGTGAAAACTATAAAAAGGTATATGTATAAATATGTATATCAAATTAAAGAGAATTAAATTCTCTATCAAAATTGTCGAATTCCTTGGAGAGGTTTTCGAGAAATATTAATTTGAGAAAATGCTTAATTTGAACTTTGACCTTTAATAATTGTTGTAGTTGTTGTTTCCCAAAAAAAAATAAATATACCGTTATGTTCACCTCAAT